CTGTGCTTAGTCATTTGGGAGTGTCTGACTCTTTGCCACCCCGTGGACCGCCAGGGTCCTCTGTCCATGGGGTTCTCTAGGCAAGAACACTGGAGGGGGTTGCCAGTCCCTTCTCCACTGCGTCTTCCCAACCCAGGGATTGAACCCAGGTCTCCCGCATTACAGGTGGATTCTTTTTTTAATTAATTTATTCATTTTAATTGGAAGCTAATTACTTTACAATATTGTAGTGGCTTTCGCCATACATTGAGGTGGATTCTTTACAATCTGGGCCACCAGGGAAGCCCTTAAACATGGCTGACTCAGATCAAGTTCAACCATTACATAAAGGAGACCAAGATCAGCAAATCATGGGTTGTTCCAACGGAGGCTCCTGCAGAGGCAGTTCATAAAGCATGCTTGCATTTATTCTTGCTCCCAGCCTGCTTTAGCAAAAACGGAATCATTCTGGTGGGAACAGACATCGGTGAAACGAGGGATTCACACTCCAAGCATGTAGGATGCGGGAAAAGCATCATCCCCAGAGTGGAAGACAGCCAGGAGCTGGAGCGCCTGGCTGATCAGAGCACGTGGCTTAGAGAAGGGCCACACGTGTCCTGACGCGAAGACTACTGTGGGCCCAACCAAAGTTCTCCCCACCAGAGACTCGGCCCTGGAGCCAGCACTCTGTGATGTCTGAGAGGCAGAAGCAAACCACCCACCTGATACGTGTGGACACCAACCAGTGAATAGACTTAAGTTTCAATCATCAACCACTGTACCACTTTGAGAGGCAGATATGGGAGCAGCACCCTTTCACGTCATACGAGCTAATCAAGGAGAAGACATTCTTTCTTTGGTTTCCCTGGTGGCTCAGATGGTAAAGAGTCTATCTGCAGTGCGGGAGACCCAGGTTCGATCCCTGGGTTGGGAAGATCCCCTGGAGAAGGAAATGGCACCCCACTCCAGTATTCTTGCCTGGAAAATCCCATGGATGGAGGAGCCTGGTAGGTTACAGTCCTTGGGGTCGCAAAGAGTTGGACACGACTGAGCGACTTCACTTCTTACTTCTTAAAATGGAGATGATGCCTTTCAGCGCTAGGATGCTGCCTTTGAGGGAAATGCTTACAGTGCAGTGGATACAGACCCCTGCTCGGTGCCAGCTGACTCGTCTGCGAGGTGTGTGCTAACGCTCTGCCCTCCACTCCAGCGGGGCTCCATGCTGGGCTCCCTGAGCCCCCGCTAAGCAGCCCAGTCTCTCCGGGAATGGACACTTGAGGCAAGCAGCTCGGAGCTCCTCGGGGCATGGGAGGGAGCAACCCAGCACCCCCGTTTCATCACCCGCAGAGCCCAGAAACGCAGGAACTGATGGGGCTCCCTGCAGGAGACCACCGGGGAAGCGCCTGGAAAACGCCTCTCTTCTGCACGGTGAGGGGGCGCAGGGCAGGGCCTGCTTCTTGGAAAGCAGCCCCTGGGAAAGAACACATTAAAGAGCTGAAAGCCTCTCTAGCACTAAGCTTTCTACCAGGAAACATTTAGGATTTCTCCCGCTTCCACAAGTGTGTTTCCATCTTTTGCTTATGCTCCCTCTCTGTCACGACTTGCACAGATGGATGCTCTAAAACTTAGGGCACGGAGCTCGGGGCCAGCAGCGCTCAGCCTGCAGTGTTGGGCTCCTGTGTTTTCATGCTGCGACTAGACAGGCCAGGCTGCCAGTAGCTTCTTAGGAAGTGCTAGCTCCTTTGGTTACCTGTCTCTTAGGGGCCGGGAGAAATATCAATAGCCTCAGATATGCAGATGATACCATTCTAAGGGCAGAAAGTGAAGGGGAACTAAAGAGCCTCTTAATGAGGGTGAAAGAGAAGAGTGAAAAAGCAGGCTTGAAACTCAACATTAAAAAAATGAAGATCATGACATCTTATTCCATCAGTTCATGGGAAACAGAAGGGGAAAAAGTGGAAGCAGTGACAGATTTTATTTTCTTGGACTCCAAAATTACCTTGGATGGTGACTGTAGCCATGAAATTAACAGACACTTGCTCCCTGGGAGGAAAACGATCACAAAATGAGACAGTGTATTAAAAAGCAGAGATGTCGCTTTAGCAACAAAGGTCCATATAGTCAAAGCTATGGTTTATTTCTGTAGTCATGTACGGATGTGAGAGTTGTACCGTAAAGAAGGCCGAGCGCCAAAGAATTGATACTTTCATGTTGTGTTGCTAGAGAAGACTCTTGAGACTCCCTTGGACTGCAAGGAGATCAAACCAATCAATCCTAAAGGAAATAAACCCTGAATATTCATTGGAAGGATTGATGCTGAAGCTGAAGCTCCAATACTTTGGCCACCTGATGTGACGAACTGACTCATTGGAAAACACCCCGATGCTGGGAAAGATTGAAGGCAGGAGGAGAAGGGGACAACAGAGGATGAGATGGTTGGATGGCATCACCTACTCAATGGACATGAGTTTGAGTAAACTCTGGAAGATGGTGAGGGACAGGGAAGCCTGGCGTGCGGCAGTCCATGGGGTTGCAAAGAGACAGAGATGGCTTAGTGACTGAGCAACAACAGATGATATGAAAGCAGTGAATTTAAAATGTTTCTCTACACACTACTTGGAATCTTCTAGGGTCCTTCCCTTGTTTCAGAAGCCCTAGAAAATGAATAATCTATTTTCTAAAATAAAGGTCTATTTATGTAAGTCTATGTAGATCTGTAGAGATTTTGAAGATTTTTAAAATAATAAATATAGGATAACAAAATTAACAGCTAAGGGCATCTGGGGAAAAGAACAATGAGCATAAAAAGGAGTGAAACCAGGGCTCTGAAATGAGTGGTCTGTTAGACATAGGTTCCCAATTTTATTCAGTAGAAAAATTAGCAGAACAAACCATGAATGTTTACCAGTTATAGTGCTCACAAAATTAAAAAAATAAAAAAGGGCTTCCTGGTTGGCTCAGTGGAAAAGAACTTGCTGGCAATGCAAGAGACAGAAGAGATGGGTTTGATTCCTGGGTCTGGAAGAGCCCCTGGAGGAGGAAATGGTAACCAGTACTCTTAACTGGGAAATTCTGGGACAGAGGACCCTGGCGGCCAAAGTCCATGGCTGAACAAGCACGCACGTTGTACCTGGAGCATGACTGTTCTATTTCAATAAATTTACTCTTTCTTCAGATATTCTGGAGACTTCTGCCACTTTCTATTCACATACTCTGAGTAGACCTCATGATTACTACCCACCTTGTAGGAGGTGCCTGGTACATTTCACTGTGCTCTATCTGATTCATTGCTATCCTGTTTCAGGAAGCGGAGAAGGTGGGCGAATCCAGGGAGCGGCTGATCGTTTGTGTGGTCCGCAGACTGCTGAGCAAAGCCAGAGAACATTGGTCAGAAAGAAACAACAGGGGCAGATGAAGGGCACTGGCCAAGGAGTGTCTAATTCTTTGATATTAAATGAGCAACTTGAAATATACATCGATTACAAGTTAGTGTGCATTACGATGATAATTTCCGATCCATTGGCCGATCTCACAACCATCTTCCTGAGATATTGCTGCCACTGTGGAGTATGTGTTTGCTTAAAACGAGTTTCTTCTCCTTCCTATCAAAAGTCAGTTAGTAAAAGGGACGGGAGGAATGGGTGGGTGAAACGTAAGGTGTGATTAAATGCCAGCGTTTGGTTTTAACTGCTAAGGCCCCCAGCTTGGCCTCAGAAAAGCAAACTAAACCCACTCCAGGAATCACTGCGTATTAAGGAGAAACTGCAGCCTCCGGGGGCCAATGTGATCCAGTCTGTGACAATGCAGGGCATTAAGGCTGTTGCATAGGAAAGAACAAGGCTTGGGGTTTTCCAGGGCAGGATGTGTGGGCTGAATGGCTTTTTATTTGATTTTGTCTTAATTTCCTGACTATGCAGGCAACAGTGGTGAGCCCTGAGGGCCAGGGATGGGAGGAGCAGAGCTGCAGTTGGGTCCCGATGCACTCAGAGAATTACAGAAGGTGGGGAGGAGGGCGTTGACGGAGGTCGGTTTGTGGAACCGAGCTGGATCTGTGTCTAGGAGCGAGGCACGGAAGGGTCAGCTCCACGCTCAGGGCTGAGGCCACTTGACACGTTATGTCCAGGTGGCTGGAAAATGCTTTGTTTTCAGGCTGGGCTGGCCCTCCACTGGGAGGCCTTTGTTCTGCAGTTTGTATTAACACTGGGAACGAAGCACCTTGAGGGGCTCAGGCGTGGATGTGGGATGATCTAGCACCTTCTCCATTGCGGTGTGGTCCAGCAATCCCCCTCGTGGGCGAGCATTCAGACAAAACTCTAATTCAAAAAGGTGCATGGACCTTAGTGTGCATTGCAGTGATGTTTACAAAAGTGAAGACGTAGAAACAACCCAAGTGTCCCTCAGCAGATGGTTGGATAAAGAAGATGTGGTACATAAACATGATGGAATATTATTCAGCTAAACAAAGGATGAAGTAATGCCATTTGCAGCAACATGGATAGACCTAGAGAGTATCATACTGAGTGAAGTAAGTCAGACAGAGAGAGAAACATCATTTCTATGTGGAATCCGAAGTATGACACAAATGAATGTGTCCATAAAACAGAAATAGACTCGCAGGCATAGAGGGGACTTGTGAGGGCCGAGGGAGATGGGTAGAGGAGGAATGGCGTGGGGGGTTGGGATTAGCAGATGTAAACTCGTACACAGAGGATGGATAAGCAGCAAGATCCCGGTGAATAGCACAGGAACTATATTCAGTATCCTCTGACAAACTGCGATGGAAAAGAACACGAAAAAGGATGTAGAGATAGGTCTAACTGAATCACTTTGCTGTACTGCAGAAGGTAACACAATGGTGTCAATCAACTATATTGCAGTTGAGGAAAAAAAGATAGACTCCAAGAAGAAGGATCAGTCCCTTTAGGAGGTTTCAACTCCAGAGTGACAGGTACAGTATACCCCGAATCCCACACTGCGTGTCACAGCCTCGCCACACGCCAGACAAGGGACAATCATCAGGGTCATCTTGCAGCGGATGCGGCCACAGGCGGCGGTGCTGGGAAGGGGAGAAGGCGGAAGTCCTCGGTCATCTCGCAGCAGATGCGGCCACAGGCGGCCGTGCTGGCAAGGGGAGAAGGCAGAAGTCCTCTGCAGAAGGGTGACTGGCAGGAGGCGGGCATCGAGAGGCTTGGAGCCGCCATGGCCCCTGACCTACAGCCACACTCGACTACATCACACACACAGACACACACACACGAGTGAACCCCGAGAAGGTAGGTGCTTTGTAAGGAAGAGACACTGGGGGAAGGCTCAGGAGTCTCCTGAAATACACAGCGAGACAGTTTCCATTCTGCCTGAAGCTTCTCTACCGTGTCAGGCATTAATCTCTTGAGGTTACTTAGGAAGTAAGGAAATGAACTGACTCTTGCTTTCTGTAATGTTTTCACTCCTCTTCTTTCCCTCCTTGAGAAGCGCGGATCATCACTGAAGTCATCAGAAACTAAAGAAAATTAAAGTCTTGGAAGAAAACATAAACACACATTTTTCATGACCTTGGATCAGACACTAGTTCCTTAGCTATGACACCAAAAACACAAACAACAAAATTAAAAAAAAAATAAATTGAACTTCATCAAAATTAACTTTTTCCTATTTCTTTTTATTTTTTAAATTAGGAAAGTATGATAACACATTTATGAGAGACTAAGCTACATTTAGTTCTACTAGATATTACAATTATTTTTAAGTGGATAAATTAAGATGTTCAGCTGGGAGTTTAAATATCAAATTCTCAAAAATTAATAGAATGAACATACAGGAAAGTAGAAAGATACAATAGACCTGAAAAGCTCCAGTAACCAACTCAACATAATTAAGATTTATACAATTTTCACACAACAGTAGAATACAAATTCAAGTTCCCATGGACTACGAACTAGGAGACATTAGAACATATCCAGGGACATAAACAACGTGCAAACATTCATAGTCTAAAGGTATTTAAATCATAGGAGTCTGCTCTCATCACTGTAGAATCATGTTAGAAAACAACATCAAAAAACATTTAAAAATAACCCATATATTTTCAAGTACAATATGACATTTACCAAGAGATCCCTTTGACTTAGCCACTGAAAGCCTCAGTAAAGTTAGAAGGCTGAAAAATCACTGAGGGTGATTGCAGAGAAGAAAGTATTTACATGAGAAATTAACACCAAAGATTAACTTTTGTTCTTTAAAGGACACCATTGAGAAGGTGAAAACACAACTCTCACAATAGGAGAAAGTATGCATAAATTATGTATCTGATAAGAGGTTTATATCCTCGTACATAAAGAATTCTTATAATTCAAGAGTAAAGAAACAAATAGCCAAGTTAAAAATGGGCAAAGGACTTGTCTCCATTTATCCAAATCAAGTACACAAATGTTCCACTGGCGTATTCAAAGATATGCACATCATCAGTCATCAGAAAATGCAAGTCAAAACCATACTGAGATGTGACTGCACATCTATGTTAGCCATTAGTATGGCTAACCTAAAAAGAAAGAAATTAACCTTTGCTGGTGAGGATGTGACTATGGAGCCCTTAAACATTGCTGGTGGGCTTGTTAAAATGGTGCAAGTTCTTTGGAAAACCGATTGGCATATTAGTTCCTCAACATATTAGACAGAGGGTCACCCTAGGACCTAGCTCTCTACTACTAGCTCCAAACCTGTAAGAAATGGAAACACACGTCCACACAAAATCTTGTGCACAATTGTTCATAGTAGTATTATTCACAATAATAAAGATAAAAACAACCCGAACCTCCATCAATTGATGAATGGATAAACACAAGGTGGCATTTCTATTACCTGCAACAAAAAGGAATAACACAGTGATGCATGCTACGATGAGGACGAACCTCAAAAATGTGACTGAGTGAAAGCAGTCAGACACGACGACCACAGAGGCAGGATTCCTTTTACAGGACGTGGAGTCAAAGTCATACAGACAGGAGGTAAGTGAGTGGTCGCCAGGGCTGAGGACGCAACTGTGACTAGCATGGGACTCCTTTGAGGATGACAAGAGTGTTTGGGAATTAAACAGCGGTGGCGGCGGCACAACGGTGTGGCTATATGAAAAACCGCTGAACCGTACACTTCAAAAGGATACATTTTATCATATGGAAATTACGTCTTAATTGTTTTTTTAAAAGAGCAAAGAGGAAGAAGGCATACGGTATGCACGAGCTGTTTGTAAACAAGACAGTGGGAGTCATATTTAAAAGCCAAAGCTTTGGATCATCAAATATTTCAGCTCCCAAATTAAACTTTTTGGGGTGTTATGGGTGATGGGTTGGTGCATACGGCTCAGTTGAACCAGTGGGTGGATGGGCGATACACGGAGTAGAGCATGGAATGGGGGGTGGGCCTGGCCCAACTTTTTGGGGTTTCAAGCCCAAGACCATGAGACATCCAGCCGCAACTGGGGGTCCTGGACCTACTGCTCAATCCCAGCCTATGACAGGTCAAGCAGCAAACAGGCGAGCCTCTCCCCACCCTCTTCTCCCGACTTCCCCAGTACAGATCCCACCCATTAGCAGGTCCCTGTGACTGCAGGGGGCTCCTCTTGTATTTTCTTTAATTTCGGTTCAGTCACTCAGTCGTGTCCAGCTCTTTGCGACCCCATGGACTGCAGCACGCCAGGCCTCTCTGTCCATCACCAAGGCCTGTAGGTTACTCAAACTCATATCCATTCAGTCGGTGATGCCATCCAACCATCTCATCCTCTGTCTTCCCCTTCTCCTCCCACCTTCAATCTTTCCCAACATTAGGGCCTTTTCAAATGAGAAAGTTCTTCGCATCAGGTGGCCAAGGTATTGGCGTTTCAGCTTCAGTATCAGTCCTTCCAATGAACACCCAGGACTGATCTCCTTTAGGATGGACTGGGTGGATCTCCTTGCAGTCCAGGGGACTCTCAAGAGTCTTCTCCAACACCACAGTTCAGAAGCATCTATTATTCAGCACTCAGCTTTCTTTATAGTTCAGCTCTCACATCCGTACATGACTACTGGAAAAACCATAGCCTTGACTTTAATTTGCTTATTGTTTTTGGCTGTGTGGGGTTTTCCTTGCTGTCCAGGGGCTTTCTCTAGTTTCGGCGGGTGGGGGCTACTCTCTGTGGCATCCTGGTGGCTTCCCTCGCTGCAGTCCCACGGCTCTAGAGCACAGGCTCAGCAGTTGTGGTACCCGGGCTTAGCTGCCCCATGGCATGTGGAATCTTTCAGGATCGGGCAGGGATTGAACCCGTGTCCCCGGCATTGGCAGGCGGTTTCTTAAGCACTGGACGACCAGTGAAGTCCTGGCCCCGCTTTGCGTACGCGTGTTGTGGATGGGTGTCCGCACTCCTTTCACTGCAAAGATACTTAGAGTCTCAGGCTGACTCTGCCCCACAGTTTCATAACGGTGGTCTGGGATGTGAACTCCAGTTTCCAGTTCTGCAGAATGGCTAGCATTCCTCGAAATTCCTCGAAAGGCTCCAGTCATTGTGAAGGACCGACTATGCCGGTAGAGACAGACAACCTTGTTTCTAGGCACGGCGTGGGAGCCCCTAGCCGGCATCTGGGCCTGATGAGCCCCCATCCAGGCTGTGGTGAAGATGGAGTTCCATCTGCAATGGATTTTGCAGATGCCTGAAGATAAATCAATCTGAGTCCATTAGGAGAAAAAGAAAGGCAAGGGTGATCCGCTGGCCGTGTGGGGCTGTGGGGGAGCCCCAGGCTGTGTGGACGTTGAGTCATGCTGAGATGAGTAATGCTAAGAGGAAACAAATGCATGGCGGGTTCCGTGAGCAGCGGGGAGGCCAGGCCTGCCCCTGGGACAGAAGGGGCTGGGAGGTCTGGGAAAAGCGCGCGGATGTTTAGCATCAGCTTTCCTGGGATTCCCTCAACACTAATTACAACTGCCTTGCTATGCAGCATCACAATAAATTTTCCTAAGTGGACTGATTATTTGCCCTTGAGGTCCTGCCCACATCTCTCACCTCCCATGCCAAGAATTTGGTTCTCTGGAGACGCGTGCGTTTTTGTTCTGGCCTCAAGTCCTTCTAGGAGAGAGGAAAGTCCCAGGATGGAGCTGCCAAAGTTAATCCGCTTGACCACTAATTGTTTCATTACAAAGAAAGAGGCACTGTTAAAGCTGTTTCATGAATTTGGACTGTTTAGACATTCCGCTTGAACATTTGGGGATTAATCATGAAACACAGCAATTAACACTAAAAGAGGCCCTGCCCTAGGAATGGTTTAGTATCTTTGAGAAGGAAATAAACCGATGTGATAGTAGGTTTGCCCTTGAGTTCTCAACTCAACTCTGGGAAGCGGCTTAAAGAAATCTCCCAGGAAAAGTGAAGGGGGAATTTGGACTGCTTACTTTCAGGTCTTGGGCTTGCCAAATTAAGGAGGGAACATGGGTGCACAGCCACCTCTGGGTGGGGAGAGAGCTTCTCTGGTTACTGAGCGCTAAGCCAGGGGGAGCCAAGGCTCTCAGGAACCTGGAGGTGGGGGGAGAGCAGCTACCGGGGGACAACTGGCTGACTGATGCTGCCCGGGAATCCTGATGGAGACAGGCTGCAGAAGACAGTTCCAGGCTGGCCCCGGATCCCACAGTCACTGGCATTCTCTGCCTGATGAACCTGGTTCTTTCTTGACTTCTTACACAAGGGTGATGATTAGGCTCATAAATTCATTTCTCCAGGAGGAGAGAACTAAAACTTCCTCTCACAAAGTCTAGTGTCTTGGTGACCCTCCGGCCTGGGCTGAGCTATTATGAACAGGGCTGTACACATTTCTGTGTGAGCACACATCCCGTTCTCTCCTAAGAGACAGAATGTACGCCTCCATACACGTTAGAAGCGGAGCTGCCGGCTTACACGGCAGTTCTGTGTTCAACATTTTCCAGGAGCCGCCAAAGGAGTTTATCTCATCAGCAAGAGCCGAGGGTTCTAATTTATGGTTGGAAGGCATCACTGGCTCCATGGACACGACTGTGAGCAAACGCTGGGAAATAGTGGAGGACAGGGAAGCCCGGTGTGCTGCAGCCCATGGGGTCGCAAAGAGTCAGACACGACTGAGCGACTGGACGATTTCTCCACATCCTCACCAGTGCTGGTTATTTTGTGAGTCATTCTTTCTTCTTTCCTTTCTCTCAGAGCCATCTGAGTGAGTGTGATGACCTCTCTCATTGCGGCTTCACTTCTCCTCTCCCTAAAGACTGCTGTCCCACTGACAGAGCAGTATGTCCGAGCACACACATGTATTTCCTCTCTCCTGGGTGAGTGCCCAACCCCTGCCCCCACCAAACAAATTTGCAAGAAAACTGGAAACTATTTGGAAGATAGTCTTTGTTCTTCCACTCCGTACATATGTGTCCATTGATGGTGTTTCTGGTCCTTTTGGTTTTGGTAAAAAAGGGCCTCTACTGAGGAAGGGCTCTGTCTTCATGAAAAATGCCTTCCTCATGAAAAGCACCTTCCTCGGTAAGAGGGTGCATGTCTGGATCAGTGCGTATCTTGCATTCATGCTCAGCCGTGTCTGACTCTTCATGACTGTAACCTGAGAGGCTTCTCTGTCCACGGGATTTCCCAGGCAAGAACACTGGAGTGGGTTGCATTTCCTCTCCAGAAAGAAGACTGGGACTAACATAAAAACAATGACCACTGTCACAGGAACGCCTTCCTGTTGTGGAGAGAAGGGCCACAGTAGGAGGGATGCTGAGATGATCCTTTGTGGTCACTGACTGTAGTTTCATCTCTTAAAGTTGAAGAACATCTCACTCGTTACACGCTGCACGCTCAGACAGGATGATAATGGAAGAATGCGTTTGCTTTCAAACTGTTCCTGCAGGCTGCTCCTTCCTGATGAACTTCCGGCAAAGAACAGTTGTACCAGAACCTTAATGCCTACCTGACTGTGAATCTCTAAAGACAGCACACTTTTTTCCCTTCCTGTTGTCTTTTTCTCGTTTAAATCTGCCAACAGTTGATTCGAGGCTAGGTGAATAAACAGCACTCATTTTAGATTATTTTGTTCGTAGTTTTTGAGATTAGGGGAAGAGAATAAAAAATAACCGGGTTGGTTTTTTTTGCAAATCTTACAGTGTTCTCCGATCTTCCCACCCAGACATGCACAGGTAAGTATGTGTGTGAGAGAGAAAGAGAGAAAGAAGGAGAGAATGAATGAATCTCTGGTGCCTCTTTGTTTTCTGAGGAGGACCCCAGCCCTGTGGGACCATGGACTCTCCCGTGACCTCATCTAACCTTAATTATCACCCCCCCCAACCCCACCCCCACCCCCCTCCCCCGCCTGTCCCTCCATCTCCAAATACAGCCACACTGGGGGTCAGCATATGAATTTGAGCGGGGACACAATTCAGTCCATAGCCAGCAGGGAGCTGAGGAGGGGGTTTCGGGGTGTCCCAGGGTGTAGGAGCAACCCTGAAGGGTACAGAGGGTGACAGAGTGCAGCGCTCCCCAGGACTACTGCGCTCGTCCAGAAACGAGGCGAGAGACTTAGAGCTGCACAGATTTGGCCCGTCTCCCCTCAGGCACTGGGGCCCCGGGTCACGGTGGGGCGCGGAGGTGCTCCCGGCTGCAGAAGACAGACCTACAGGAGCCTGTCTGCAGGTGCAGGAGGCGTCCCCCTGGGGCGGACGGCTCTGAGACTTTCCGATCCCTGCCGGAAGGCATGCTGTGTTGCTTGGAGGTGACCCGCGAGCGAGTGGCAGGCCGTGGTACTGGTGGACACTGTGACGGACGTGCTGGGGGAGGCATGGACACAGGAGGGAGGCGCACTCACCTCCTGGCGGACCCTGGTTTCGCCCGGGAAGCTTGGCACCCTTCCTCGGCTCCTGAGATGACGGTGATGGACAGGCGCACGCGCAAAGCAGCGAAGCACGCTCCCCCAGCCTTTCAGGCTCCTCCCAGCAGGTGGATCGCCCCTCCCAGCCGCAGGGTACACGGCGATTCGAGCTCTTTGGATCTGTACTCCCGCCGCAGACCCCCACTTGGGATGTCAGCTGCCGGGGTCAGCTGTCCAACTCGAAGTCAGAAGAAGAGACCTCAGCCACTGAGCCTCAGGGCCGGGTGTGACCCAGGTGGGAGCCTTGGGCGGCCGTGCTCAGGCCTGTGACCACAGAGGCAGCCCGGCAGGCGGCTGTCAGGGTGAGCCCAGCAGGCAGGCGGGCCCGGGGACATTCCTGCTGGAGACCCTGGCAGGAGGCGCCTCGGCATGGCTTTTGGTGTCCTCCTTTGCCAGGTGGGCAGGCGGCCCTGTACACGCTGATCTGTAGAGGTGGGTTCTGCTCGGCCACTTCTGGAGTCAGTGAGTGCAGAGTGTAGGTGTGAGGATTTCCACGCATGCGTGTCGGCTTGATTGCTTCAGTCGTGTCTGACTCTTCGCGACCTCGTGGTCTGTAGCCCACCAAGCTTCTCTGTCCGTGGGATTCTCCAGGCAAGAATACTGGAGTGGGTTGCCAGGTCCTCCTCCAGGGGATCTTCCTGACCCAGGCATCAAACCTGGGTCTCTTATGTCTCCTGCATTGGCTGGTGGGTTCTTTACCACTAGTGCCACCTGGGAAGCCCCATATATATGGAGATATATGTGTATCTACATGTATAACTTCTTTTACAGATTCTTTTACACACTACAGTTAATTGCAAAATACTGAATATAGTTTTCCATGCTATACAGTAGGACTGTGTTGTCTATTTGGTACATAGTAGTTTGTATCTGGCAATCTGACACTCATAATTTATCCCCCCCCCCAAAAAAAAAAGTCGGTTTTCTATGTCTGTGACTTTACCTCTTTTGTAAATAAGCTCATTTGTATCATTTTTTTAGATCCCACATATAAGTGATATGATATTTGTCTTTCTCTGACTCACTTCATTTAGTGTGACAATCTTTAGGTTTATCCATGGTGCTGCAAACAGCATTATTTCACTTTTTAGTGAATAATAGTCCATTGTATCTGTCTGTGTATTGTTGTTCAGTAGGTAAATCATGTCTGACTCTTTGTGACCCCAAGAATCGCAGCACACCAGGCCTCCCTGTCCATCACCAGCTCCTGGAGCTTGCTTAAACTCAGGTCCATTGAGTCGGTGATGCCATCCAACCATCTCATCCTCTGTTGACCCCTTCTCCTTCTGCCCTCAATCTTTCCCAGCATCAGGGTCTTGTCCAAATGAGACCACGTCTTCTTTATCCATTCATATGTCAATGGACATCTAGGTTACTTCCATGCCTTGAGTATTATAAATAATGCTGCTATCAGCATTGGGGTGCATGTATAGATGTGATTAACATTTAAACCTGTGGACTTTGAGTAAAGCCCATTACCCCCCATAATGGGGTGGGCCTCACCCAATCAGTTGGAGGGCCCCAGAGTAACAACCAACGTTTCCCTGAGGAGCAGGAATTTGGTCTCAAGACTACACTGTAGAGACCTTGCCTGAGTTTCCAGCCTGCTGCCCTGCAGAACTGAGGCTCAAGGCTGCAGCCTCAACTCTTGCCTCAACTCCTGGAGTGCTCCCTGCCCTACAGGTGTGTGAAACGCCCGCAGTTGTGTGAGTCAGGCCCATAAAGCAACCCCTCCACAGCCTACTGTGCCGTGTCTCTAAAGAATGCAGGCTGAAGTGAAAGCCGCTCAGTTGTGTCCAACTGGTTGCAACCCTGTGGACTGTAGCCTGCCGGTCTGTCCCTGGAATTCTCCAGGCAAGAATACTGGAGTGGGTTGCCATTCCATTCTCTGGGGGGTCTTCCTGACCCAGGGATCGAACCTGGGTCTCCTGCATAGCAGGCAGATTCTTGACTGTCTGAGCCACCGGAGAAGCCCAGTGAAGCAGGGAGCGCCTTTTAATTGATTGTGGCGTCTCTAGGGAGGCTGCACCTCCCCTTGCAGATTGCCGGTGCAGCTGGAGAAAACCTGGTCCCTGGGCAGGGAGCCCCTGTGGCCCTGCCCCCTGGCGCTGACCGCCACCATCCCGTCACCAGCCATCCCTCCGTGCAGCCGCCTCACTCGGGGCACTGTCTCCTCAGACTGGTGCTAGCACTTTCTACCAGGTTCTCAGCCCCATTTCTGCCTCTCTGAGGCCAGGTTCCCGGTTCTGTGCCTGTCCCCTGCATTTCTGAGTAAACCTCACAAAGAATCACAGCTGTTCAGAAGCACGCTGCACAATATAAAATTTATTATAAAACTTCAGCAAATATAAATATCCAGGCGCCATTTGGAATGGAGACCACACCGCAGAAAAGGGTTGAAATCCTGGGTGGGGGGGGAGGTTGGAGGTTCCCCTGCTATGTAGCTTGTCACCTGGAAATCCTTGGCCTCCCTTCTGAATGGATGTTACGAAAACAACCAAAATTTACAGGAAAAAAAAATTGAAAACCCTGCAGCACATAAAAGCAAACCCAAGTGGGCCAATCACGGCCCACAGCGCTTGGTGTAAACCCCGTGGAGTCTCTAATTCGGGCCCAGCCTGTCATTCTGCCACTTGAAAGAGAAAAGCATTCAGAAATGCGTTTAAATAGGAACACTCACTTGTAAATAACTGAGAAAGAGAAAAAAGGCAACATATGAGAATTCTCTCCTCCTTCCAACAGGTCTGAAAGGGACAGAAGCACCATGGTGGGGATTTCTTTTCCCGTTTCCAGAGGCCAGGAGCCCCATCAGGATGGAGACCAGCTCACCCGGCCGGGGCCTCTGGGGTCCCTGTGCAGAGAAACCGCCGCTGGGGCGGGACGTGGGCCTGGGGGTGCAGCCCGGAGGGGCTCACCCCGCCTCCGGAAGTGGTGGTCTCCATGTGGCGGCCGGGCCGGCCTGCTTTGCCAGAGCTCGGCGGTTCAGGGCGAGCAGGTTGGGGAGCTCTGCCCTGACTCCACGCCTCCTCCCCGCCAAGCGTGTGCCTGTGTGCCCAGGGGTGAACACACACACACACACACGTGTGCTCACACACAAAAGCACACACGCAGTCAGGTCCAGGAGCTCCGCACGGGTTTTTCTTCTCCTGGCTTCCATCTTCCTGGGACGCCTGCCGGTGGAGAGACCACACGGCCAGCTGGTGCTGGAGACGGGTCCCCATGCCCGCCGGCTCACAGGTTGGACGTGGAGCAGGTCTTGCAGCACTGCTGGCCGTAGAAACGGTGGCTGCACACGCCATGCTGGGGCACCAGTGCGCACCAGTGGAAGCGGTCCCCGCAGGAGGCGTCTGAAAGCCAGCAGCCCCGCGTCAGTCACCAGCCGCCACCCGCGGGAACCCCGGGAAATCAAGGCAAGCCTGCCGTCACCCTGCAGCTGCTCTGCAGGGAGGGCAGCACTGCAGGTCACACGGACCACGCGGGTCGTGCTGTTTTCACAAGATCTTTCTTGGCAGGTTCCCGCAAAGCTGGCATTTTCTGCTTTTCATGCTAAACACCCCCATGGAACCACTCAGCCGCCCGAGACAACGGGTCTTCTGTGGACTGGGCTCCGGTTGTCGGGTCCCTGATTGAGGCAGACCACTCACTATCCTCCAGCCCCATTTCCTCCTCCAGAAACCTCGACAGACAGACAGACAGACAGGGCGCGGTGCTGCAAATCGCCAAGGCACTCGCGTTTACTGAGCAGCCAAGGAGCAGCAGGAGGAGAAGGGGCCGACTGAGGATGAGACGGCTGGATGGCATCACCAGCTCGATGGACATGAGCTCGAGTAAACTCCGGGAGCTGGTGATGGACAGGGAGGCCTGGCGGGCTGCGGTCCGTTGACAGCAGCCCAGAAACACAAGAGGCAACGGTGCTTGCTGAAAGCCAAATGGCTTTGGCTCTCACAGCCGCCTGTGTCCTTTCTGGGGACGAAGGCGTGAGCAGTGAGCAGTCTGCTCCATGGGCCTCTTCGTGGGGAAAACTGGTGGAGGTGGAGAGAGAACAGGTGGAGCGGACACAAGACCCTCTAACCTGCGGAGACCCCCAGTTGCTCAGCCCTCTTAGCAACCACTCCAGAAACCCAACAGCCCCACCCAAATGGCCAAGGTCAAACCTCGGGGCGGGGGGCAAGGGTGCTCCAACACTCACCTTTCTTCTCTGCGATGGGGCAGAACTGGGTGTTGCAGGCCTGGGAGACGGCGGGCTTCTGCAGCATGGAGCAGCCCACGGCAGGCCGGCCCCCTGCCAGGCACTGCACGGACCGCGTCTGCACGCCGCCCCCGCAGCGGGCCGTGCACTGCGGGAGACACGAGCCGCCATCACGCTGGGCCACCCGGCTGTCCAGCCACCCCTTCCTACAGGCAGTCCCCTCCTCCCAGGCTCCTCAAGGCTCTCTCTCTCTCTCTCGACCGGGGTGGGGGGCTAAACACAAGCTGCATATTTCCCAGGTATGGACACTGGGAAGACGGGCCCAGGAGTCTGAATATTCTTGAGTCATCAAGGGCTCGATGGACACACAAAAAGCGGCACATATCTGGGGATACAGGCTGCGGGTCCGTCACGAGACGCCCTCGCAAGCCAGCCGTTCTGGTGCTCCTGAAAAAAGCTTGACAAGCCAGTCCCCACAGAGGCGCGATGACACTCACCTCTCCCGACCCCAAGTTTTGCAGGGACTCCAGATGCCTGGGTGTGGCCGCCCCCTCCCCGGAGCGCCACGTCCCTACGCTGGAGCCCCGCACTCTGAGGCTCAGAGGGCAGCGGAGCCAGGGAGAGGCAGCTCGGTCAGGCTGGTCCTCACTGGCCAGCCGGGCACATATCCCAGAGACCACGGCAGTGGGTCCCCTGGAGACCCACTGCCGGCAAGAAACCGGGAGAGACGTGAGCGATCGGAGACAGAAGGGCCCCGAACCTGCAGCCATGAATCTGCCCAGAAAGAAAGCGGCTCACAGTCTAGAACGAGTTCTGTCTAGCTCACGGCATTGCTCACACAAGGCTGCGTGTTCAAGAAAGCTGTTAAGTGGGAGAGGAGCCCCTGCAGAAAGATGGGGGCAGAGAACAATCTGGAGATCCTGGTGTGCGGTGGGCTGCATTAAACAGTCGCGTTAACACGTGAGGTTAAGCTCTGCTGGTTTGGAGACACACACACATAACTCAGGCTGCCGCCAAGATGTGTGGACAAGACCAATGCCGGGATCTCCCTGGAGCAGCGGCCCGGGGCTGGTCTTCCACGGCTGAAACCGCCCACGGCCAGACTCTGAGGACCCGCTGCAGACAGGGCCCCGGGAGGTGGCTTTTAGACCCCTCGGGAGAGAGACACAGTGATGGGGTCAGTAGAACATCTTGGTCTGCCCCTCGACAGAGGAGTCCCCAGAGCTCATAAGCTGAAGGAATCGTTCTTTCTTCTTTTTTCCCTCTTTTGGGAAAGGATGTCTGGGCCACTGGAGAGAGAAAACCCAGGGCTTTTCGCTGATGAGCATGTGGGTTTGGAACCCACCATGTGAGGCTGAGCCCTGCTCTTCAAAGCCAACATTGGTGAACGCCGTCAGGGCTCCGTTTCAGGGCAGGACACCGGCAGCCAGGAGGAGACAGCGCTGTGGGCGGACTCGTGACCCGTCGTCAGGCCCGCCCCGGGTCATGACAGCTGTCTTCTGTGGACTGTGTCATCTCTGAGCTTTCTAGCAGAACCGCGCTCCAGGCCTCGGGGGCCTCTGACTCGGGTCCCAGGCACTCCCTCAGGCCCTGTCCCGGGCTGGGAACTCACTCGGGGAGACAAGGTTGAACCTCTCTGCCTTTGAGTTGAATTTCTTTCATCACCAGCGGCAGGGGCAGATTGCCACTCGCCTTTTTTTTTTTTTTCCCATGTTAAAACATGAGTTTTAATTGCAAAAACTGTTTTCTGTAAATATAATTATATCAAACTCTGTGCCCACAGCTCGGGTTCAGGTATAAACAGACATGACACACGCAGGCGTTACTTGTACCACAGAACAAAATCAGCTCAAGAATCAACTCTTGCTAAAGATACGTCCCATCAGGGTCCAGCTGTGTGGCAGAGGGAACTATATTGAATATCCTGTGGTGAACCACGCCTGCATGCTTAGTCACTCAGTTGTGTCTGATTCTTTGTGACCCCGTGGACTGTAGCCTGCCAGGCTCTGTCCATGGGATGCTCCAGGCAAGGATACTGGAGTGGGTTGCCATTCCCTTCTCCAGGGGATCTTCCTGACCCGGGGATGGAACCCAGGTCCTCTGCATTGTAGGCGGATTCTTTACCATCTGAGCCACCAGGGAAGCCCCTGATAAACCATAATGGAAAATAAAATAAAAAAGGATATATATATATATATATATATGCATGTAACCTAGTCACTATTTTGTACGGCAGAGATTGGCGTGACATTGTAAATCAGTTGATTTACTTCGATAAAAAAAAATTACAAACAAACAAACCAAGAGATCTGACCAGCATTTTGCGTCCCTTGGCGCCAAGCGGCTTGATTCTTTCTGTTATCGGTTCTTTGATGCACAGACGGGGATCACTGTCCTCCCCTTCCCGGGCCCAGGTCCAGGCTCCAGACGCTGAACGGTGAACACAAGCCCTCGCCTTCCCCGGGGCACTTTCCGAAGTCGCCCCTCCAAGAGCGGTTTCTGGTCCGGCGGCCCTGGTGGTGGCTGGGAGCCCGTTGGCACCCCTGCCTTCCCCAGGCCCCGGCTCGGCATCCACACGGAACCCACGGTTACACACGCAGTGTGGACCGGGGCCCTGCCGGCCACTGGCATCTCTCAGTCCATGGACCTGCCCCGGCCACCCCGCCCTGATCACCTCTCATCTTTCAGCATTTCATTGTCCCTGTTCCGGCCTCAGAGAAAACGTGGGTGCCCCTGTATGCTGTGGGGGGGCAGGTACTTCTGTGTCTGTCTGCCGAGGGGTGAGGGGGGTCCCTCCAGCCCCCGGGGTGGGTGGTTGCAGAGCAGAGACCTCCTCTCTGGAGAGCATATGACCCACTGGATGCGAAGCCCCAGGGACCCGAGTGAGTGAAGCCAGGGCTGCTGGGTGAGGCCTCACCAAGCAGGGCCACTGAGGCAAACAGAAACCATCCTCATCCAATTAGAGACCCGTCCATTTTCCCGCAGCTGCAGGAATAACCTGTCCAGGGACAGAGCCCATCCAGGCGCAGGACACCTTTCCGCCCCAAGATTTCCCACGGCCGGAGGGCACAGAGCCTCGGGCCCAAGAGCTCACAGCAAACGCGGCCTTAGCCTCATTCCTGCCTGACATCATGGAACATAGCAGATGAGTCACCCTGGGTAAGATCTTCAAGCAACTTATGATGAAAATGATTTATTAGACAGGCTGGAAGTTTTAGGCTGGTGCAAACCATGCCAGAAGTATTTTTAGATTCTAGGTTTGGGTTTAAACTAAACAATGGCAAACCTTGTTTTTCTTTTTCTAAATTTGCCTGAGGTCTCCCAGTTGAGCAGAGTGGGGTAAACGCTGGCCGGATTCACTCTCAGGAGCTTCGGTCTCCCCTCCCCGTGGACAGAGGGATGACGGTCTTGGGGAACCACCAGGCCTTGTCTCTGAGCCACGTTCTCAAGGGACAGAGAGTGCGAAGCACCTGCCCCGGGAACCACTCGACGCAGCCTCTTGGCTCGCCCGTCCCTTCCTCTTGCCGGGAAGCCTGCGCACTCAGAGGACAATTAAAGGGAAGATTGTGTGGCCGGAGATACTTTTGACCTACTTAAAACAGGAAAGGCTTGAAAAGGATACAGTCCAAATGTGCTGTGGTCTAGTATTTTAGATGAAACAATTTCTAATACCATTTGGGGAGGAGTTCGTGTATTTCTAAATGAAAAAGCGACCTCAGATTTGAAGATGTGTGTGCTAAGTCACTTCAGCTGTGTTTGACTCCACGGACCTCAGCCTGCCAGGCTCCTCTGTCCGTGGGGGTTCTCCAGGAGAGAATACTGGAGTGGGCTGCCATGGCCTCTCTCCAGAGGATCTTCCCCACCCAGGGACTGAACCCATGTCTCCAATGTCTCCTGCATTGGTAGGTGGGTTCTTTACCGCTCGTACCACCTGGGAAGCCTCAGATTTGAAGGTGAGCAGAACCAAAGGCAAAAACACAACTAGAGAGCAGTGTGCAGAGTGGGTGGCAAGCAAGAACAGCCTTGGGGGGTTAAAGATGCTGCCGCTCTACATGGTCTGGCAACAGGGCGCACAATCCCGACGGCAGTGACACCACCACCCCCAGACAAGCGTGAAGTCCGTGCTGGAGTGGAAAGTTCTCCAGACAAGGACCAGACCTGGCTGCCCTGGGCACGCAGGGATTTGCTTTTCACCTGAAATTCCACATTCAGCAAACACTCCCTGAACACTCAGTACAGAGTATGTGCCTTGGTAGACACCAGGGACTGTATATATAAAACATGCATGCATGTATGTAAATGTACACACATGTCAATATGGAGAATACACCGTAAAACAGCAGGACACTCGCCACAGAGCGGCCAGTCTGGATGGCTGTTTATTGACTGTATCCGCTTTCAGGCAGCTCATGTCAGCGGGGGCAGCCTTGACCTCTGACGAGGTCGCAGTATAGACATTGCATGATTCTGGGACAGGAGGCGAGATTCTCCACTCTGGAGTCTGCTTTCTATCCTTGCTTCCTTTTCAGCACAGGGTGCCTGGGAAGCTCGAGGATGCGGGATGTGCTTCCCGGGAGGGCAGTCACTACTTGGGCAGGGAAGACAGCCATCTGTAGCTGCTCAGGTCATTCCTATGGCACCAGCCATGGAGCACGCCTTCTGGGAAGTGATTTGGAGAGAGACGAAGACTTTTGAAAGTTCCTTTGAAAGTGATGGGGAACAGACATCTGCCTGTGGTTCCTGGGGTCAGCCTCTGGAATCAGTGAAGATCCCGCTTGCTGGCTCCAAGAGAGCTTCTGTGATGGGGGCGTCCTGGGGGCCTGGTGCCCCGTGGATCCCATATACTTTATAGGACTCCACCTCGGAGGTCCTGGAGCCAGTGTTACCTGGTATGGTTAAGAGATCTGGCCAAGGTGGGAGCACAGAAATTCGTGGCCGCCCCTGCTATCGTGTTCACTTGCTTTCTCTGTTTTCTAGATGTGGACTGTTTCTAAAGTCCCTACTGAGTGTATTACAATATTGCTTCTGCTTGATGTTTTGTTTTTTTGGCCATGAGGCATGTGAGGTCTTCGCTCCAGGGATTGAACCCGCACCTCCTGCATTGGAAGGCCAAGTCCTAACCACTGGACCGCCAGGGAAGTGGCGGTTTGCTTCTTAAAAACTGACCATCCAGACCCAAGTGCCTATGAAGACACTGGGCGCTGAGCTGCTCTTGTGCTGCCCTCGCCCACCCAGACGGCAACAGAACAGGCAGAGAGGGCTGCGAGGAGCCCAAAGCCGGAAGCAGGGCTGGGAGGAGGTTGGGAGGAGGCTGGGTCAACAGTAGTGAGTGCAGAATTCTTCCCTTACAGCCGCGGGGGGCGCGGGAGGAGGAGGGAGCCGGGGACACGGAGACCCCGGAACAGATCCCGCAGCCCCTCTCGGCCTGGGCTGGCCGAGCCCGGGGACCAGGCAGGTCACAGCCATTCTGGGGGCTCAACCGCCATCCTCATTTGCTCGGCTTTGCGGTTGACCCCAAACAGACTTACAATCACCTGTTTCTTCCAGATCTCGTATTTCTTCCTCACCCATACTCACCTCTGGGGAGTTCAGCCCAGCTTTTACCCAAACCATTAAATCTTCTCACCCTCCGCAGGGTGAAGGTTTAGAACAACCACGCTGTGCTGTGCGCTCAGCCATGTCCGACTCTCGCGAGCCCGTGGACTGTAGCCCCCCAGGCTCCTCTGTCCATGGGATTCTCCAGGCAAGAACACTGGAGTGGGTTGCTATTTCCTTCTCCAGGGGGATCTTCCCAGTCCAGAGATCGAACCTACAAATCCTCCATCTCCTGCACTGGCAGGCTGGTTCTTCACCACTAGCGCCACCCGGGAAGCCCTAGAACAATCACAAGCGCCCTAAAAGGTCGAGTAACATGTGGAGATCACCCTCTGGAGGCCCCCTCACAACCCCAACCCCCAGAAGCTCAATACCACACGGGCTCTGGAGGGAAGGGCCTGAAGCTGGTTCCGTGGGCCTGGGGGCTACACTCCAGCAGAAACCTTACCCCCAAGGCAGCCAGCAACACCGAGGAGGGGCTCCGCCTGCCCCCCTTCATCCCTACCTGAGACCAGGGCGAGGCAAACCAGCCAGCCCGCGGGGGTCCTGCAGCGGCGAACGCAGGCCGCTTGGGGCAGGGAAACGGGGCGCAGGCACGCTGCAGCTCCAGCTGGGGCTGCGGCAGGTGCAGGCACTTCTTGGAGGCCAGCTCGCGGTACTTCCCAGACACGTACTTCTCAGCACACTTTAAGAACCTTTTCTGGGTTCCTCTTTCACAGGTAACAGAGCACTGGAAAGAAGACAACCAAGGACGTGCGTGAAAGGCATGTCTCCCCGCGTGGTGGCCGTCTCTCTGGCACGATCGTTGAGTGGAGATGCCTCCTGATTACGTCAGCCTGAACACTGATAGGAAAACAACAATCGCAAAATCGTTGAGTGCAGATGCCTCCTGATTACGTCAGCCTGAACACTGATAGGAAAACAACAGAGTGAGGAAGATGAGAGATCTCTTCAAGAAAACTAGAGATACCAGGGAACATTCATGCAAAGATGGGCTCAATAAAGGACAGAAGTGGTAGGGACCTAACAGAAGCAGAAGATGTTAAGAAGAGGTGGCAAGAATACACAGAACAACTGTACAAAAAAGATCTTCACAACCCACATAATCACGATGGTGTGATCACTCACCTAGAGCCAGACATTCTGGAATGTGAAGTCAAGTGGGCCTTAGGAAGCATCACTATGAACAAAGCTAGTGGAGGTGATGGAATTCCAATTGAGTTATTTCAAATCCTAAAAGATGATGCTGTGAAAGTGCTGCACTCAATATGTCAGCAAATTTGGAAAACTCAGCAGTGGCCACAGGACTGGAAAAGGTCAGTTTTCATTCCAGTCCCTAAGAAAGGCAATGCCAAAGAATGCTCAAACTACCGCACAACTGTACTCATCTCACATGCTAGTAAAGTAATGCTCAAAATTCTCCAATCCAGGCTTCAACAATACATGAACTGTGAACTGTCAGATGTTTAAGCTGGTTTTAGCAAAGGCAGAGGAACCAGAGATCAAACTGCCAACATTCTCTGGATCATTAAAAAAGCAAGAGTTCCAGAAAAACATCTATTTTTGCTTTACTGACTATGCCAAAGCCGTTGACTATGTGGATCACAATAAACTGTGGAAAATTCTGAAAGAGATGGGAATACCAGACCACCTGACCTGCCTCTTGAGAAATCTGTATGCAGGTCAGGAAGCAACAGTTAGAACTGGACATGGAACAACAGACTGGTTCCAAATAGGAAAAGGAGTACCTCAAGGCCGTATATTGTCACCCTGCTTATTTAACTTATATGCAGAGTACATCATGAGAAATGCTGGGCTGGAGGACGCACAAGCTGGAATCAAGATTGCCGGGAGATATATAAAACACCTCAGATATGCAGATGACACCACCCTATGGCAGAAAGTGAAGAAGAACTAAAGAGCCTCTTAAAGAAAGTGAGAGGAGAGTGAAAAAGTTGGCTTAAAGCTCAACATTCAGAAAACAAAGATCATGGGATCCAGTCCCATCACTTCATGACAAATAGATGGAGAAACAGTGGAAACAGTGACAGACTTAATTTGTTGGGGGCTCCAAAATCACTGCAGATGGTGACTGCAGCCATGAAATAAAAAGACGCTTACTCCTTAGAAGAAAATTTATGACCAACCTAGACAGCATATTAAAAAGCAGAGACATTACTTTGTCAACAAAGGTCCATCTAGTCAAGGCTATGGTTTTTCCAGTAGTCATGTACAGATGTGAGAGTTGGACTATAAAGAAAGCTGAGTGCTAAAGAATTGATGCTTTTGAACTGTGGTGTTGGAGAAGACTCTTGAGAATTCCTTGGACTGCAAGGAGATCCAACCAGATCATCCTAAAGGAAATCTCTCCTGAATGTTCATTAGAAGGACTGATGTTGAAGTTGAAACTCCAATACTTTGGCCACCTGATGTGAAGAGCTGACTCATTTGAAAAGACCCTGATGCTGGAAAAGATTGAAGGTGGGAGGAGAAGGGGATGACAGAGGATGAGATGGTTGGATGGCATCATCAAGTCAATGGATATGAGTTTGAGTAAACTCCAGGCCTTGGTGATGGACAGGGAGGCCTGGTGTGCTGCAGTCCATGGGATCACAAAGAGTTGGACACGACTGAGCGACTGAACTGAACTGAACATTTAAGGGGATGACATGGTTGGATGGCATCACCAACTCGATGGACATGAGTTTGAGCAAGCTTCGGGTTATGGTGAAGTGCAGGGAAGCCTGGTGTTCTGCAGTCTATGGGGTTGCAAGGAGTCGGACACGACCTAGCAACTGAACAACAAACAGTCAGTGAAATTTATGGGACCTCGGCATTTTAAAATGGTATTAACAGTATCTGCAATAAAAAGAGGTCTTGAGGTCTAGCACTACACACGTAAGTTGGGGCAGGGGAATTACAAACTACGAAGGGAGTAATTCCGGAGCTATTGTTTCACTGGGAAATGAAGACGCTGGGCTGTAACTGATAGCAGAATGCACTGGGACCTAATGCACAAGGATGTCAGGTAAACCGCAGAGCTGCTCAGATTCACACACCCAACAGCAGTGTGATGCTGGCCTAGCACAGGTGCAGGTGGGGGAGACCCAGGGCTTCCATCTTCCCCGGGAAGCCGAGTGCTGTCCTGGACAGAGCACCGCAGGCTCATTCGTTCCCACCAGATGTGCTCTGAGCCGAGCTGTCACTGCAGCCGCACCCTCTCTCATGGACAGCGGGGCCCTGGGCCGACCTGTGGCCGGGCGAGGCTGCAGCTACGGGACGCACGGGGATGACACAGAAGGCCGGGCAGAGCTGCACAGGCTCGGGAGTCACAGGGCAGGTCCCGGGGGCTGGCATTGCTGCCCTGGGCTGGCATGTCTGCAGGTCCCATCCACAGCGGAGGCTGGGTGCCCGGCGTTCTGGCCTCACACTCAGGCTCAGGCCTGGCTTTGGGGTGTGCTTGGCGTGTCCTGCTCCCAGAACGGAGCTGGAGGGCTCCTCTCGGGGGCTCGCTGGGGCGAAGCCTGAGAGCAGCTCTGGGGTGTGATGAGTGTGTGTGTGCGCACGCCCGGATGTGTCAGATAGTCAGGACAAGGGATTTCCACCTGGACACCTTCCAGACAGCATGTGTGTTAGCCGTTCAGTCATGTCTGACCCTTGGTGACCCCATGGACTGTAGCCCACCAGGCTCCTCTGTCCATGGGATTCTCCAGGCAAGAGTACTGGAGTGGGTTCCCTTTGCCAGGGGATCTTCCCGACCCAGGGATCAGACCCAGTCCCCTGCATCACAGCCGGGTTCTTAACCACCGTGCCACCTGGGAAGCCCTTTCTAGGCAGACCAAGTTGCTTCCGTCCTAAGGACTCAGCCTCCAGAGATCTGCATAGAATCAAATGTCTCCTAATGACTGAGTTATTCAGTCGTCTAGACACTGATGCCCCTGGTTCCAGGAGTTCTTCCTTAGCAGCAGCAGGCTTCACGCAGTAGTGATGCTGCTTTTATTTTTCAGGGGCAGACAAGTGTTGTCTCATTTGGGATAAATGTCCTGCCTGGCACGCCATCACTTTATAGAGTCATTCCTGCCCCCTGGACCGGACGCCACTGCGGCCCGGGTGGGGATGAGACCTCGAGTCTGTCCCTGAGGTCCAGGGATCAGGGGGCCTTCATTCCCCAGTTCCTATGGAAACCAGCTGTGTGGGCTCTGTACATGCATGCGTCTCAGGAGGCGCTGTCTGCTCCTGCAGTCACCCCCCTGCCCCACCGCCTAGGCACGTCCTGGGAAATGGCGGCAGCTGCTCAGGGTGAGGTGGGTCCCCCACCCCACAGTCAGCGGGAAGAACACTCCCCACCCCAGTTGGCAACTGTTCGCCCACGAATCCACTCCACACCAAGGGAGGGATGATTGTGGGGGTGACCTGGGTGGGGTGCTCCACGGATGTGATACACAAGCCAGAGGACATGCAAGGAGTGGAGGCTGGGCGTGGGGCTGAATACCAGGGGCAGTGGGACCAGAGACTGAGAGGAAAGGAGTGGAAGCAGAGGAACCCAGCAAGGAAGGGTGGCCCCTAGGTGGAAGGTGGTCGACCCAGTTCCACCTGGACCCGGCACGCCTACCTACCTGGGACCAATGTGTCTACCTGGGGCTAGGTGCACCTACCTTGAGCCAATGCGTCTACCTGGGACCTAGCACACCCACCTGGGAAGGTGCACCCACCTGGAGCCAGTGCACCTATGTGGGACTTGGCACACCACCTGGGGTGGTGTATCCACCTGGGGTGGTGTATCCACCTGGGACCAGTCTACCTGAGACTAGATGCACCTACCTTGCGCCAATGCATCTACCTGGGACCCATGCATCTACTTGGGACTTAGCACACCTACCTGGGGCCAGTGACCACCTGGGAAGGTGCCCCCACCTGGGACCTGGCACACCCACCTGGGAAGGTGCCCCCCCCTGGGACCTGGCACACCCCCCTGGGAAGGTGCCCCCACCTGGGACCTGGCACACCCCCCTGGGAAGGTGCCCCCGCCTGGGACCTGGCACACCCCCCTGGGAAGGTGCCCCCGCCTGGGACCTGGCAAACCCACCTGAGACCAGGCGGACACGAGCCACTGCAGCTTCTTGTGCTTGTGGCAGCGCCTGAGCAGACAGGCCTCGTGAGTCCTGGGCTTGGGCTCCGCGGTGCAGACGGTGTCCGGCAGCAGCTGCGCCCTGGCCGAGGGGTTGGTCCTCTTACAGGCCACGGACCTCTTCCGCCAGCCCTTCCCGCAGGTCCGCGAGCACTGCGCGCGGGGAGAGCAAGTGTCGGCTCCCTCCAGGGGGGCTGGGACAGAGCTGGGGCTCCAGCCCTGAGACCCGAGGCTGGGGGAGACTCCAACTTCCCCCACACCCCTCACTGCACAGGAGGGACCCCATTCACCCACCCCATGCCAGCCCCCCACCCCGCTTACCTCCGTCCAGGGCCCGGTGCTCCACGCCGGGGGGCAGCTCTGAGGCTGGCAGGCCTGTCGGCTGGAGGGGACGGGCTGTGGACACAGGCTGGCCGGGACCCGCTCCGATTTGTAGTGCGCGCGCCGCGTGCACTGGACTGCCCGGCTCTGCGTGCCCCCTCCGCACGTGCGGCTGCAGGCGCTCCAGTTCCCCACCGACCAGCTGAGGGGACAGGGGACCCCACGGTGAGGGGCGGGGCCGGGGCGGGGTGTCAACCGGCGTACCTTCCCACCTACTGTCTCCACTGCAATCCTTTTCAGTCCCGCCTGCGGTCTCCCAGGGCTCCTGCCCCTTCTAACTTCCTGATTAGTGTTCCTGGCGTCAGGCCTCCCCTCCTCTGGCTGTCGGGTTCTCTTGTGCTTGGAAATAACTCCCCTCAGCGCAGTGCGTCTGCCCCCCCGCCCCCAACCTTTTCCTAAAAGGAAAATTTCAAACACATACACATAAAGGCCCTCCGTGTCCCTCTCCGCTTAGTCTCAAGATCAGTTTATGTCCCCGATCCCTATAGCATTTTGAAGCAAATTCTAGACATACTAATATTTCAATATACACCTGACAGATAAGGACTCTTAGGTTTTTCAGCCTAATTATATTGTGACATTTGAAAATTTTAACAATAATCCCTTAACCTCATTAAATATTCAATGTTCCATTTCCAATTATGTTGTCCCTTTAAAATTTGGCTCCCCTGATGGCTCAGCAGCTAAAGGACCTGCCTGCGATGCGGGAGACACAGGAGACGTGGGTTCGATCCCTGGGTCAGGAAGATCCCCTGGAGCAGGAAATGGCAACCCACTCCAGTATTCTTGCCTGCAGTATTCCATGGACAGAGGAGCCTGGTGAGCCACAGTCCATGGGGTCACAAAGAGTTGGACACGACTGAGTGACTAGTACTTTCTCAAAATTTAATCTGCTTGTTGGAGTCAGAATCCAAATAAAGCTCCTGAATTTAATTGGTTGATGTGTGTCCATAGGTTCTCTGAAATTTCATTTCGTTTTCTCTTTGTTACAGAATGACAGAAAGATGGCTACATCTCTACAGCTTTCCTTTTTTTTGCTGATTACAGGACTTTGCAAGCTACATCTCTGTGGTATCACTTAGAAGGCTCTCTGTCCTCTACCCTTCTTGCAATTAAGCCGTTGGATCTAAAGACTTTGTCTTATTTGGGGATTTTTGTTTTGTGTCCACAGACACCCTGAAATAGTACCGATCCTAGGGGGGCCAAGCCCCCCTGAATTGCTGAACAAAACCACCGGCATGCGTCCTCAAGTTCTCAAAGGGGTCTGTGACCCAAATGATGGTCGAGCCTGTCTTTGGGCTTCTGTGTAAGATCTAAGGACGAAGGAGGCGATGGAGGGAGGAGAGGGGAACGGATGACACTTGCTGGATCGGGAGGAGGGAGCACCCCACCCGGGACGGGGCAGCGCTGCAGCGGCACTGGGGCACCCGGGCTGAGCCGCACTGTGACATGGGATAGTGCCTGCCGTGTCGATAAGCAAGGATGCCACAGCTGTCCGTGATTCTGGCCCTCCCACGTGAATTTCGGAGCGAGGCTAACCAGCGGCCCCACCGCCTACACGAGGGACTTAAGGGTGTCAGGGGCGTCAGCAGTCCCAGCGCTCCAGTGTGAGCCAGAAGGCCCTGAGGGGATTCAAGAGAGAGAAAGATGTCTCCTTAAATATGCAGGGTGCTGGCCCCAGATAGCCGAGATGCATATGACAGGAATGACTTCAATGATCCCAGACTCTCGCATCTTCCCATGCATAGAAGAAAACTAAATTCCTTAACTTGGTATCTGATTTTCCTTACTTAATAATCTTTGATGTTCAGACTGCCTGCCCTCCTTGTTGCAAACTGGTGTATAGCCTGACTCCCCCTCCCGCCCCCTTGGAGCAGTTTTCTCAGGGTCACTGAGATGCCATCTCCCGAGCTTCGAATCCTTAACATTCCCGCTAAATAACTCTCTACTTTCAGGTTGTGACTGTATTTTTTTTACTCAACAGAACCATGATATGTTTACTTAGCTTTGTTTGTAGAAGCTTTGAGCTAGATTATGCCAAATTATTTCTCATGAACAGACTCTATTATCTTTCTAAGAAAATTATTTAAAAACTGTAATGAAAAGTTTTATGCATATAGTAATAAACTATGTCAGATTTGTAAGAAATGTTACGTATCAACTTCAGAAATGCTTCAACTTTTCAGTGTTAACAAGATTGTTGTTGTTTAGTCGCTCGGCTGCGTCCGAAACCCGGCTTTGGGCTCCTGACTGCGTTGATTCTGCATCTGGAGGCTCTCCATTGCTTTTCTATTTTTTATGTTTCCTTCCACTTCTTAACGTTTGCCTCTCAACCCCGCAGCCTCATAAACTCTAACTGGTCAAACCCCGGGGCTGCGGAGGTGTCTTGGCTGCTACCAGGCTTTTCACCTGCCTGTGTTAAGTCCTCAGTCTCCACCATCTTAAGCTGTTCCAGTGGGGTTGGTCCATGCTCTGACCTCCTCTTAGCTGCATACCATTAAAAAATGGTCCTGTGCAAAACTCGTTCACATGGCATCTGGAGATGCCAAGTGTCTGCTTTGTTTCACAGGCAGAGCTCCAGGGAAGCGTCCTGACTTCAGCTCAGGAAAGAGTCAAAACGCAGCAGCAAGCTTCTATGCTGGTGTCCGAGGGTCCACTGAGCAGAACGAGGCATGCCGGGCAGCTGACGAGCGGCCACACCTGTCCTGCTGTGGCCTGGTTTTTCAAGTCCGCCAGCTGGAACAGAGCAGGCAGCTGGTATGACTCACGTCAGTTGGGTGTCCCAGGCAGGGCCTGGAGCACCCGGCCACCCGGCCCCCACGGTGCTGCCCCCAGCCGAGGGGTCACCTGGCAGGACTCACCCTGCAGCTCTCAGAGCTGCCTGCCCAAGTGGCGGAGCTCACAGTAGTTACTCAGCAGTTTGGGCCGGGTTCCCTGGCACCATCTGTGCCATATTCAACATCACTAATTGTCAACAGTCAGGAGCTGCTTCTCAAAAAATGACTTTTGCCTTCCCACTAAAAAAATAGCAACATTCTGGTTTTGGTTATTTGATATTTCCTCTGAAAATGCAACAAGGGTATTTGAAAATGCAAATTCTCAACAAGAGTATTTGGTTTAGTGCAGTACGCTGTCGTGAAGCACTCCCCAGGCAGACTCAGGGCTGTGACCGCCTTTCAGACTCAGAGGTCACCCTTGACGGGGACCAGACCTGTGGCTCACGGCTGAGCCCCACGTATATGGCCAGCTCAGGGCGGCCACAGAGTCAGCGTCAGAAACCACGAACTTCGTTTTACAATTGGGTTTCAGTGTCTCTTCCTGCTCCCTTCAGGTTTTGAGATGAAGCACCCTGCCTATCCCCTTTTCAGGAGTAACTCCCGATCGTTGGTGGAGTGGCCTTTCATAACTCAATAAGCACATGGTATCAGAACCCGGTTCCCAGAGTGAACCTAGAGAAGGCCGTGTTCTCAGCTGGATTTTTTAGCTCCAGGGAGGTGTGAGCAGGACAGGGCAGAGGAGAGCATGCAAACACAGCTCCAGTTACAAAGTGTCCCCCACGACAGTCAGGACTTTCACACCTGGTGTCTCTCACTTCCTTCGGGAAGGATGCTCTCAGTCACATGGCCCACTTTTACTTTGTGACTTGATCTTTAAAATCCTCTGTGACTACAAACATGGACATTCACACGCCCTATACTCAGTGGCCTGGGACTGTGATAGTTGCCATTTCGGCCCAGTGGGCATTGTGTGGGTCTTGAAGACAGAAGGATCTTGTTTTCATAGGAAATTGCAGCCACATCACACGAGCAGCTGATTTGAGGTTTACCACGCTTTTCATCTACTCGAACTTGTCGACTTAAAAAACATTCCTAACCTAAAAAGCTGAGAGTTACGTTTCATTCAGTGGGAATTTTTAAGACCTAAGTCCAGGGGGCAGAATCTCAAGGAACCCTGAGGGGAGGTGTCAGGTTACACAGAAGTTTTGCAACAAAGGGCAGGTAGTCTGAACATCAAAAGAATATTGTTGAAGAAAACCAGATAGCTCAAGTTAAGGAATTTAGTGCTTTTCTGTATATGGGAAGGAGCAAGAATCTGGGCTCATTAAACTGTTCCTTTCTTATGCTATTGGGGCCAGTAACCCGCGTTTTCACATCCTGAACTCCCCGGGAACTCACTGTGGGGAGTAGCCGCTGTCTGACGGCTGTTAGGTCACAGGGATTCTCCTTGCTGAGCGCCCTTCGGACTCCCCAGCTCACACTGGGGGGCCATCGCTGATGATGACGACACCCTTGTTGACTGATACTGCGGGAAATATGCCACTGCTTTCAAGGTAACAATGCGCATCCACAATAAACAGACCCCAGTTTGAAAAATCTGCCTTAGCCAAAGAGAATGTCCGCGAACACGTTAACTTAAAGAGAGCAGACAGACTGGGAGCTGAAAGCTCAGTAGCTGATATCAGAGGACTCGGGGTGATGAAGAGGGAGAGAAGCTGATTCCCGAGCCCATCTGGCAGCTGGCCACACATGGGCTGTTCGCTGGCCTGGCCCATCTGCTGAGTCGGGAATTACTGGTCTCTGTCAGAGGATGTTTCAATATCAGAGGGTGCCAGCTATATTCCAGGCCAGTTCCAAGGCAGAAGTCCAGCGCTGAAAGGGCCAATGATCTCGGTAACCAATTGTGCAAGTGAGCGGTGTCAGAGGCCAGCGCTGTTGGACACACAGCTTGCACTCTGCACGCGTGCCCTGATGCCTGGAGCAAGCCCTCCTGAAGTGCAGCGGTAAGTACATTAGAAGTGACAGCAACACGCCAAACACACACGCACGTCTTCCACCACGTGTTGGCAGGGATGTGCTAGACCGGCTGTCTGCTGGATGCATTCTTCCAGAAGCAATGCCAGGGAAAGGCCTCCATGGTGCCCCAGAACTGAAAGTCCGTTACTGATGACTGGCTGGCAAGGATGGGGGCCAGACTTCAAGAAACTGGGCACCTGGATCAAGAAGCCAGGCTCTGGGAAGCTGGCAGCTTAACAGTGACTTCATTTTGTTCAGTCTCAAAAGGCAAACTCCTTTGTTCGATGTGAAAGTGAAGGAGAGATTTATAATGAGTCATGCACAGGACTGAATTTTTTCATCGTTAAAG